TTCTGGGGGCATGTCAGAGCACGGGGGAGAGGTGATGTCAGCTTCCTCTGGGTATGGTCAGTAGTGTCAGAGTCTGCCCAAAGTCCCAGTGAGCAAGGGACTGAGAAGCATTCATTAAATTTGTAAACGTGACTGTGAATGACCGGGAAGTGGTCAGTGAATATAGATAACTCCTTCAAGGGAATAGCAGTGGAGTTCAAGGACCTGGGTTTCTGTCCCAGCACAGTAGAAGCTGCACTCTTGAGGTACTGCACTCCCTGGGGTGCAGGGAGCTGGGTGCAACCACCCCAAGGGGGGATGCTGGGTGGGCTTGGACCCTCATTTGTTTCTGTATGAATGCCACACTGAGGGCCACACCCTGAGGTGCTTTGAAGGTCAGGGACAACAGGACACAGTGTGGGAGGCCCTGGCCATCTGCTCCTCCAGCTGCAGTATGTGGATCAGGGTCATGTCCACTGATGTGGTTTCTGCCATCTTTCTCCCCAGGGTCCAGACGATGAAGAAAGATCGGCAGCCACAGCAACAGAGGAGGCCGAGCTTCCCATCAGTAGTACTGCTGGGGAAGCAGAGGCCAGCGGTGTGCCCACTGAGGGCCTGGCCTTCCCCATGGCCACCCAGCATCCCAGGGAAGAGGTCACTCTGGTAAGCAGTGTCAAGATCATGGCTGAGATCAGCTACCAGCATTCTCAGAGTGTGGGTCTCTCTGACCAAAGACTCACTCAGGGCTGTGTGGCAGAGTGTGGGTCTCTCTGACCAAAGACTCACTCAGGGCTGTGTGGCCTTTTCCCTGACCTGGGTAGGTGTGTGGAGAAGCTCCCAAAGCCAGGTGGGAGACAGGCCCATGGGGCTGGGTGAGTTGGGGCACCTGCAGGGGTGGGCAGCCACAGAGCAGGTGTGGAGGGCTGCAAGTGGAAGAGGGGCCGGAGGTCCCAGTGGGCTGCCAGCAGGCAGAGGGGTCAGGGTGTAGGCAGGCAGGCTCCAGCAGGGGTATAAGGGCATGTCTGGGCCTCCCCAGCCCTCTCCTCACATAGTGTAGACACACTGCAGCCAGCTCTGGAAGGAGACACCGGCATATCAAGGCACTTGGCAAATCCGTCCCTGTGGTGTCCTGTTATGGACACTTCGAGTTCTTCCAGCTCAACAGTGTCAGACTTGGACTCCTCATTCCCTCTGGTGTTACTGCTTCACTTGAATGGGAGCCCCCCCCCCCGCCCCCGGCAGAAGTCTCTTCCCTTTTCCTTAAATCCCATATCCCATCAAGCATCATCCTGTTGATTTTTCTGCCTAAATACATCATGAGCCACCTGCTGTGTCCTTATCCAGCACGAGCCCCTGCACTGAGCCATCGTGTGCCCAGCCACAGTGTCCCTAGCCATTGCAATAGCAGGACTGGCCTGTGCTCAGGAGCTTCCCACTGGCCTCCCTTGTGGACTCAGCTCCCCGCCTGGCCCAAAAGGCCACACAGGGTCTGGCCTGGCCCCTCTCTCCCTGGCTCCTGATGCTGCAGCCTCACCAACCTTTCAAGTACTTCTTCTTGCTTCTTCCCCTCACCTCACAATGCTCTCTCCTCCTTTTCATTCTTGCAGTAAGGCTAACTTCAGAGTTCAGCTCAAACACTACTTCCTCTAGAAGGTGCTGTCCCAGACTGCAAAATTTCCCTGCCCTTGTCCTTGGAGGGCCTCATCATAACTATAATTAATAATGAACTTGGTAAATAGTTCATGCCTGGCTCCCTACCAGCATGTAACTCTGTGAGGACAGAGATCTCACTCACTCAGGGTCTTGTTCATGGATGAACGTCATTGCTGACAAATGGTGGGCATTGAATGCATAACTGTCACGGGAAGGAGTGGCTGGGGCCATCTGGTCATCACAGATCAACAACCCTGACTTGAGGTTATTGCACACGCTGTTTCCCCCAGTCTGCCTGGCTGGTCAGGCAGCCTCTGGCTCTGGTCGAGTGTCCATGAGGAGTGACATCGCAGTAGGGAAGACATGCTCTGGTCAGCTGATGGGCCACTGGGCAGTTGTTGGATTCTGCCAAGGAATAGGGTGGGTTTCTCCTTCTCCTTCCTCTTCCCTTTCTTTTTCTCTTTCTTCTTTTCCTCCTCTTCCTCCCCCTTCTTTCTCTTCTGTCCATCCCTCCTCCTGCTCCAGTGCCTCCCTGTCCTCCCCTTTCTTTAAAGGCAAAGCCCTTATCACAGGGTGGGACAGCCAGGGATCAGGTTACAGTTCTACCCAGGCTTAACTCCAGACAAACCAGAACTTGCCTGTGGAGGTGGTGAGCCTGTGGTTCCTGGAGGTGTGTAAGTTAAGGCCAGAGAAGCACTCGGCAGAGCTGTGCTGGAGGGATTCCCGATGAGGTGGGGAGACACCATGAGAGGCCCTCTCTGACTGTGGAGCTCAGAGGTCTGTGGGCTAAAGTGTGGCCCTGGGTGAGCAAAGGTAACAGAGTTGTGAAGCCGCCAGTCACCTGAGGGTCCTGTGGCTTCCTGTCTGCGGTCACTCACCACCAAACCAGGGATGTGGGTAAAGGGGCACAACGCCTCATGCCAGTTTTCTTTTAGGGTCCCAATGGTGAAGAAAGTTTAACACCAGCTGCCGCTGTGACAGAAGGGGAACTCAGCAGTTCTGAGGATGAGGAAGCCAGTGGGGTCCCCACAGATGGCCTGGGCCCCCTCACACCCACAGCAGCAGCTCCTTGGGAAGCAGTCACTCCCGTACGTGTGGTCTGGCATCCTCACTATTGCACAGAACAGAGGCAGGTTGCGGGACAGTGGAGGCTTGTGCCCGGCCAGCTTCATTAGCAGCATGCCTCTGGGTGGGCTCCAAGCACAGGGAGGCAGGATGTAGTGGCAGGGTGCTCCAGGGTCAAGCACTGGGTGTCGTCCCTGCCCTGCTCCCCCCTAGCTTTCTCTGAGAGGAAGGACCCAAAGTTGGGGGGAGCAGAGGCCCCAGAGATGTGGACTTCAGAAGGGGGCTGCGAGTCTGTGCTTCTGTGACTGGGGGTGGGGGTTGGAGGTAAGGAAGTGGTTTGAAATTGGGCTGACGTCACAGACATGGTCCTCACGACAATTCCCTGGCAGCCTCCCAGACAAGGTGAGGTGATTCCTCCTGTTGGGTTTGTCTTTAGGGTCCTGTTGATGAAGAAGACTCTGCAGCAACCACAGCAGGAGTGCCCCTTACCCCATCGGGGGGTGAGGAGTTGGGCAGCGCTCCCCCCGACGGGCCACCACTCCCGGCCCCCACAGTGGCTCCTGAAAGAGTGGTCACTCTGGTGAGTGGCAAAGAGGCATAAGGGTTGGGCTTGGCAGGTCTTATAGGGAGAGAAGGAAAAGCTGGAGCTGTGGGAGGGGCTGGCCCCTGGCTTTCTCAGGGGTGGGTTTTTATTTTGGTTTGTAAATTCGGGCATTTGAGGCCTTCAACCTGGGTGATACTGGAGGAAATGGCAGTTTGAAGAGAAAGGTAAAAATGGAAGGGACCCAGGTTTGTGTCCCAACTGCCCTTTGGATCGAAATGAGATCTTTCTAACAGGCAGTGCTGTTTCAAGAAGTAAAAGCTGACTTAAGACGTGGCAGAGTCTTATAGCAGAAGGGATGGAAGTCCCTGCCAACTCGAGTTTTCTGTGATTCTGGGCTGCAACTGTGTGACCTTAAGCAAATCCTTTAATTTCTCTGGGCCTCAGTTTCCTCATCTGTGACAGAGGGCAGCTGGTGAGGTCCGGTCAGAGAATGTTTGAAAAGCTACCTACACACACTTTGGGTTGTCACCGCTCACAGGCTGTAACTTTGTCTTTTAGAAATAGGAACCCCAGAACCAATGTTCAGCTTGGGCCTCTGGGAAGCAGAGAATGCGACTGATCTTCAAACGTGAACAGATTTCTAAAGGCAAACATCCCTCTGGTGGCCAACATGGTCCCTCAGTTCCCTGTCACACTTTGATAGCCACCACTCATGCTACAGCTGGGTGGTCCGTGGGCCAGGGTGCGGCAGGGCTGACTTGTGAGGGCAGGGGCTGTGGGCCAGGCAGTCAGGAGAGCCTGTTCTGTGTCCTGCATGCCGTGACTCAGAGGCCTCTTCCAGCAGCTGTCACTCTGCTTACCCTCCCTTTATTTGGGGTAGTCCCCCCCACCCTACACTCATTCATTGATTCCCTCATTAACTGGACACACAGCAGCTCTGGGCACTCAGGCCAGATACTTGTAGATGAGATGACTATGACCTCACTCCTGTCCCCAAGAGATTTGCAGTCAAGGGGCAGGAAATAAGCCATTTGAACTGGCACTAAGTACTCTGTGTTCTGAGTCACCCACCACTCTCTGGTACAGGTGAATGATCTCTGTTTTAGGTGAAGGAAGTGAGACTTGGAGAGGTGAAGTCTCCAGACTGCTGCCTCATGCCTCTGAGAGGCAGAGCTGGGACTTGAACCTAGGCGTGCTGCCCTGCAGAGCTCACAATTTTGAGCTTCACTCCATAGCAGTTCTCATCCGAGAGAGAGTGGCGTGGTGGAAAGACCCTGGGTGGTGAGCCAGGAGGCCAAGGTTCCCCTTCCAGTAATGCCATTAACTTGTGGTGGGCCCTTGTCATCATCTACAAAAGGAGGAAGGTGACTAAGAATTCTGGTATTTAACCTCCTCGCACGTTAGAGACACCTGGGAAGCTTAAAACAGTACTGTTGTCCAAGTTCACTGCTAGACTGAGTGAGACATGGGGGCTGGAGCTTCAGGCTTCCAGGGCATCGTTGGGAGCAGCAAGCCTTGGAGTCAGCCAGTGGGCTGTGCCGCCCTGGCTCATACCCCCAGGGTTCCTACACAAACTCTCCGGCTCTTCTGTGCCTCACTGCAAGGTACATGCAAAAGACCATGGCCAGATATCCCAAGCAATGCCGCATCAAGTGCAGATAGAGCCAGTTCCCTATTTCTTTGTTTTTAAAAACGTTATCATTAAAATTTTTCTAAATGTACAGAAAGGCTCAGAATAGTATAATTAACCCCCCAACGTGCGCATCATTTGGTTTGAACAATTATCATCTGTTCCACCTCCTGCCATCATCTAATTTGGAGGGAAAGGGGAAGCCAGAGTATTTACAAACAGATCCCAAACATCTTATCACTTATAGTAACTTGTAAATAATGCAATGTGTATTGTTAATAGATTGATCTGGAACTTTCTCTCTGCTCTTCCTTCCTTTCTTCTTTCCTCCTTCCCTCTCCCTCCCTTCTTCTCTCCCTCCCTTCCTCCCTCCCTTCTTCTCTCCCTCCCTTCCTCCCTCCCTTCTTCTCTCCCTCCCTCC